AATCCTAAGATAGGCCTTTTCTTAGGGGAAAAAAAAGGTGGTTTTGAAGAGATTAGGCTTCACAGAGTATCTCTCTAAAGTACTTTTAGTCATGTAATATTTTGTATTATTGGAGAAGGAAATGGCAACCACTCTAGTATCTTCACCAAGAAAATCCCAAATGGGGTCACAAAGAGTCAGACATGAATGAAACAACTGAATAACAGCAACAAAATTTGTATTATAGTTTTGTGTTTGTGTCTTATTCCTCTACTACATACATATATACATATGTATATGTATATATATATGTATATATAATACACACACACACATACACACACACACACACACAGAGCTACATGAGAGCAGAGAATGCATCTCTCCCAGTGCTCTACCTGTCAAATTTGAGCTGAATGACTAAGTGCACACATAGCTACAAACATACATCTTGTCTACACACATACCCACGTTTATCTTCCCCAACACACAGACTATCCACAGAGGTACAGAGACCTGGAGAAATATAGAGATAATTGAGATGATACAGTCCTAGATTAAACTCAAATATGACTTGAGAAATTTTCTTTCTTGTGTAGTAGTTTAAAAAAAAAACTATTTTCTCTTTTTGTTTGTTTTTTTCTTTCTCATGATTTTTCCCATGGTTCTGATTCTTCTTTATAACATAACTAATGTAGAAATATGTGGTAATATGATTGTACATGTATAGCCTATATCAGATTGCATTCCATCTTGGGGGGGAGGGGGAAAATTTTAGAACTCAAAATCTTATAAAAGTGAATGTTGAAAACTAAAAAATAAATTAATTATTTTTTAAAAAGCTAAGGTAAATTTTGCTAAGAATTACCAGTCTCAGTTCCAGAGAACAAATGATAGAACCCCACCTCCTTCCTCTCATTTGAGAGGTGAGAGACAATGGGCATACAATACCAAGTACTCCATAAAACACAATGATTATATCACTACATTGGTCAGTTTGCTTAACTGTTTTCATTTGTTACAACAGAGAGTTCAGCGTATATGGAAGTTATATTGGGAAATAACTGTGGTTCAAAGAGTGCTGAGAAAGAAAGGGAGCATTCCTGTCCCAGAGTTGCTCCTATGGCATGGCTGGTGGCCCCATGATTCCTTACTTCCAAAGGAGATGGCCAAGGTTAGGGGGACAGAGAAAGCAGTGATGGGGAAGCAGCAGGTGTGTGTGGGAGGGCATCAACTGCACCAAAAAAGAGGACTTTGGGAGAAAGGCACTAAAATAACAGGAACCCAGACACAGTAGCCCAAGGCCAAGGAAAGGATCAGAGGCAGCAAGCCAAAGCAACAGTGGTTTGGAGGCCCACCATGGGAAGAAAACCCACTCTCTAGATTTCAGTGCCCTGGAGAAAAGCCCCAGTTGCCCTGTCCTAGTTATACCTCTGGCTCAGTTTGCTGTCCATTGTGCTTATCTTTTCTATCAGGCAGAATGTTTCTTTCTGATCACGGACTACTTAGAGAGAGAACTTTATCCTGGCACAGCCTCCTTCTGTAGACTGCCCCACTCACTCTCTGCTTTAGCTGCTGGCAGATGATAGCATCCAAAGCTGAAGCAAAGCTTTGAACAATTAGGGGTACTGCCCAGATTGCGGGTCCTTCCACTGTACCCCTAATCGGCCCAGCTCTTCTTGAGTAGTGGCTACTAACTACAGAGCAGAACCCTGTTGGATGAAATGTAGTGGTCCACTGTCATGTCCTTCTCCGCCCCGCCCCCCCCATCACATTCACCTGTACTTCTGACTGGTGACTTGGAGCTGAAGGCATTTTGTTCCCTTTCCTCTTGAGAAATGCGGCTATAAACATCCATCTGCCTACACACCTACCCACATCTGTCTGTAGCAACACACAGGCCTTCCCCATGAGTTAACAGCGTTGTCATTGGCAGATCTGGGAGAAAGGCCACCAGCAGTGAGGCAGTGGAGGAGGAGGCTTTGAGATGTTTTAGGAAGATTAAGTGCTGTTTACTCTGCAGCTCCAGAGCCACTGGCCTGAAAAATATCTCTATATTAGGTGGGTACAAGGAAAGGAAAGCTCTTAGCCTGACTTTCAGGATCCTTTCCAATTTAGACAGAAAGTCTTAATTGTAATTTAGGCAACAGAACTGTATTTGGAACCAAAAAAACTGAATTCAAATTCTACCTCTGATATTTGCTATCTGTGGGATCTTGGGCAAATCACTTCTCTGAGCCTTACGGTCTTCTATAAAATGGAGGTGGCCTAAATAATCTCCGAAGTGGCTTACAATTCCAAATTGCAGGTTTTTATGATCTGCACAGGGTGATCTGAGTACAACTCCTGCCTCTGCCAGAAACTTTCTATGTGGTCCAGAAGCCTGTTCCCTCCCTGGGCTTCTGTTTTCCTCCTCTGTACCATTTTTATTGTTCAGTCATTTTTTCAGTCATGTCTGACTCTTTATGACCCCATCTGGGGTTTTCTTGACAAACATACTAGAGTAGTTTGCCATTTCCTTCTCTATCTCATTTTACAGATGAAGAAACTGAGGTAAACAGGGTTAAGTGACTTGCCCAGGGTTACACCGCTAGTAAGTATCTAAGGCCAGATTTGAACTCAGGAAGATGAGTCTTCCTGACTCCAAGCGTGACACTCTGTATCCACTGTACCACCTAACCGCCTCAGTACAATGGGGCTGCTCCATTTTACAACTATGAAGGACAACTGATAAATGAGTCTAAAACCACTGGGTACTAAGACTAATGGAGAGATGATTCAAGCAGAGATAATTAGATGCAACATGGTACAGGTGAAAGTGTGAAGTAACTGAAGTCAGAGAATCTGGGTTCAAATTACATGCTTTGTAAGGGGGGAGAAGTGATTTGACTTCTGTGGACCTTAACTATAATATGAGAGCTCTGGACTAGATAGTACATAAGGTCCCCACCAGCTCTTAATCTGAGATACTCTGAACAAATGATAGGATGTATGAATGGCAGTGGGATGGTCCACCTCAGGTCTTCTGTCCTGACTCCCTCAGCAGAAGCTCCACTCCTCAGTCAGTCAGTCAATAAACATTTATTAAGGACTCACTATATGTCAGCCACTATGCTAAGCACTGAAGATACAAAGAAAGGCAAAAGACTGTCCCTGCCCTTGAGTAGCTCACGATATAATGGGGGAGACAACACGCAAACAAGCTATATACAGGATAAGGAGGAAATAATGGGCAGAGGGAAGCCACTAGAAGTAAGGGGGATTGGGAAAGGCCAAGGAAGTCGGGAGGTGGAGATGAGAAAAGAGAGGATTTCAGGCACTGGGGACAGACATGGAGTGGCTTGTTTGAGGAACATCAAAGGAGGCCAGTGTCAATGGATCCAAGAGTATGTGGGAGGGTGGGAGTGGTGCAAAGAGTAAGAAAACCGGAAAGGTAGATGGATGGGAGATAGCTTGGCTATCTTCTGAAGGGCTCTGAAAAGAGGATTTTGTATTTATATGGGTCAGGGGACCAGGCCACCCCACTGCCAATGTAGGTCAGCAAAGAGACTGAGTAGGGGCATTTTCACTCCCTTGCCTTTTTGTCAGCTTCATATAATCACAGCACGGGGTGCCTCAGTGGGCTGCCCCTATTTCAGAGACACCCTCAGAGTTGGAGAGTGGAGGACAGTGCAGGTCCAGAGTTCCAGCAGAGTCACTGGATGCATGTGCCAGAAATTGGCAGAGGGTAGAATGAGCAGGCTCGCTTAGCACCCCCCCTGCCTAGAGCCTGATTCAGGCAGATTTCTCTTGCTCTGTTCCCAGAGCTGCAGGTCCAGCCTCCTCCAGCTGCCTCCATGCTATAGTCCCCCGAATGACAGGCTTCTACTTCCCTAGCCTGGAGAGAGTAGATAAATGCCAGCAGGGCTGATCTCAGCTCTCCCGTCATGCTGGTCTCTCTGGCCCTCCCTTCATCCTTCTTCTGGCCTCCTTTGGCTGGGGTCCTGCAGTCCATTTGGGGCCCTCCATTGCAAGGAGAGAGTTTTATCTGTTTTTTCTCCTTTCTGCAAAGGGTTAGCCTTCTGTTCTGAGCAAAGTAGCAAGTTTTGTTTTTTCATTTGCTTGTTTCTGCTTTTAGCTAAAATACTCCTTAGCCCTACATAATCTGGATTCTGGAAGTCCATACCACTCACTAGCAAGACAATTCAACATAATTTCCTTTTTTTTCCTTTTGTTCTTCACTCAATACACTTTGCCGCATACTTTGACAAAAAGAGGGAGACAGGAAATGAAAGAGAAGCAGAGGCCAAAAGAAAAGAGTCTGAGCTTGTGTCTGTAGGATATGAGAATTGACCATCAATGCAATGCCAGGGAAACAAATCTAACCGCATCCATCTCCTTTCTTACAGATGAGGAAACTAAGTCACAGAAATGCTAAATGACTTGGGCCAAACAGCCAATATCTGAGGGATAATTTGAGAGCACATCTTCCTGACTCTAAGCCTAAGATTCTATCCGCTACTCCATTCAGTCTGTCACTCCAAATGGTCCAGCTACCAGCTCTAACGTAGACTAAACTAGAGAAAATGAGAAAGGAGAAAATATTTTGTGCTGAGCCCACCTTGTGGCTGCGTGACTTGGGAAGGCTAGACAAGGGTCATCTGGCTTCTTATACCGTTTTGAATGACCTTGGCTACTCCTCTTCACCACAATAAGCCTCAGTTTCCACATCTGTAAAAGAGGTCTAGAGCATTCCTCTGAGCTCTTCTCCAGCCCTGGCTCTGCAATGAAGAGAGACAAAGTGCTCCCCTCCTCCAAATCTCCCATGTATACTAAGTTGCAGCTAGATTTCCCCGTTTTGCCCTGAAAACCCCCATGCATTTCTCCTCAGAAAGAAAAGCCCCTTCCTGGCTGCCAGCTCCACAGCCAGGCCACCGATTGGTGTTCTTTGCTAATCCCAGATGATGGTGGGGAGGGGCTGGCAGGAGGAGGCAGCCATGTGGTTACTGCTCAGAATGATTTTTTTTCCTCCTTCTTCATTCCTTTTTCTTTCCAAACAGGGAAAAGTGTTTCCATGCGAAGAGAGCTTCTCTGTCACAATTTCTCCTCTGGGGAAGAGTATAATCCCTGATCTCTCTCCTCCCACTCCTGCCCGAAAGGAGAAGGGTGCGCTCCAGGCCCCTCCCCGGGGGCTGCGGAGTCAGAGGAGGCAAAGGCAGAAGAGAAGTAGGCGAGGGGGAAGAGGGAGGGAAGTTGGGTTTCTTTGCTGGCACATGGATGCAATTATACGGAGCGCATGCCAGAGACGTTGCTTTCCATTCCATGCAGGTCTTCTCTGTCTGTCTGACGTGCCTGGAGCTAGGGGAGCAACAGAGGGGAAAAGTGTCCAGTCCTGGAAACGGAATGTCTTTCCTGTCCATTCTCTTCCTCGGTGAGTGTTTCGGGGACGGTACATTGGTAGTTTTGATGTCTCCAAAGAGATGTATTGTCAGGAACAGCAGCAGCAGCTGAAGGAAGGGAGACTAACTTGCTAATTAAACCATTTCCCCTCAACCCCTTAGCTGAAGAAGGGCCATCTCTTTCTGCCTCGGGGCAAATGGGCAGCACATCTGGGCAGGAGAGGATTGTAAATTCTGTATTGTAGTGTTGAAAACATCTGTTCTTTTGAAGGGAGTCACATAAAAGCATTTTTTAGTTCTTGGTGGCAGCATTGAAAAAGGTGCAATGTTGGCCTCTCGGCCATAAACCATCTGAAAGTTGGGACCCCCTTTGTGGTGGCATTTGTTTTGGGGAATGTTTGGGGAGGAAAGCTAGGGAAATGAGCTTTGGCTTTGATCTAGGAATGTTCATTCCAGGTCCCTAAGGTGGGGGAAGGGGCTTTTTTTTTTGTTTCCAACAGGCGTCTCAAACAACTCGGATTAGAAACAGATGTGTTAAAGTGTAAGCGAGAAAGAGAGGGTGTAGTGAAGAGACTGAAAAGATAAAGGAAGAATAAAAATGGGCCATGAAACAGAGAGTCAAGAAGGTAGAGATCCTGAAATGTGACCAAAAGGAGTGGAAAAGAAGAGAGGGAAAGCTGAGAAAGAGTGGAGAGAAATAAGAAAAGATGGGTAGCAAGAAAGGGAGAAAGAGGAGAACAGCCAGGAAGAATCTACAGATAGGCAACTGAGAAAAGGTTAGGGTAAAGGGGGAACAAGGACAAAGGAAGATGAACCAAGTAATGTTGGGGGGGTTGGTGTTTTGTTCTGTTTTTTGTGTGTGTGTGTTTTTGCTTTTTTCTTTTGTTTTGAGGAGTGTGTGTGTGTGTGTGTGTGTGGTGTGTGTGTGTGTGTGTGTAAATGAAGGAAAGACTCCAGAGAGGAAGGCAAAAGCTCTTCTGGTCATCGTTTTGGGTGTAACTAACTTTGGTCATACGGAATTTGTGAGCCCATAAGCCTCAGTCAGATCTCTCCCTCCATTCCACTCCCCAGATTGAGCTGACAACAGACAGGTTTGTGAAAGAATGCCAGTCAGGGATGTGTGTGGGCAAGAAGAGGCAGGATGAGGCTGAAATTGCCTGGGGAGGCAGCCAGAGAGGCAGGGTGGGAGCTCAGTGTCCCAGGAGAACTGATTGACAGACCCCACACATGAGGAAGGGGTCCTGGCCACCACTGCTACAGGTTCAGGGAGGTCAGAGGGAACCTGGAAGGCTAATCCTCCAGGGGACTAAGTTGAGAAAATCGAAGATCCAGGACTATAGTGCTAGAGGTCAAAAGGGTTCAAGGATGAAGTGAAAAGGGCAATTCTCTAAGACAGAGGGGTAGAAGTTTCTGTCATATGTCAAAGTGAACTTGAAATTAAGCCCTCCCCACCATGCATGTATAGACACAGGCACACACACATGCACACACAAATGCATAATCAAAAGATGCCAAATTAAAATGACAATTTTTTTTTATCATCCTCTCAGGTAACATTGCTGCTTACCTAGGATAATAACTAAAGGATTTTAGATCTGATGTCCTACGCCTGTGAGGGAGAGAGGCTAGGTTTTGCTATGGTAAGCTATTTAGTACATCTGGGTGCTCCTTTCATCATGTACACACCATCTTGGCTACCCTTTAAACCCGAAGGTATTTAAAATATTTCAACTCCAAAGTTATGTTATCCAAGAGATTCCCTATGGCTAATTCTCTGAAACCTGTACATGTGGGGTTGACAGAAAATTTTGATAAGAGCTAGTCCCTACCCTTGTAGAGTCCATAGCCTACTAGAAGGGTATGACATGTACCCAAATGAGCAGAACACAAAATACTACTAACGGAATAAGAGGTGTGAGTAAAGTGCTAGATGAGATATGAGAGCATCATTACTAATAGGCAGAATTAGAGAAAGCTTCATGGAATAGGTGACATTTGAAGTGAACTAAAGGATAAGTAGGTATTCAATGGGGGAAGGGAGGCAGAGCTAGGAAAAGGATATTCTAGACACATAAATGAGCATGAGCAAAGGTATAGAAATGGGAAAGTGGGAGGCATGTACTGAGAATAGTGAGAAGACGAGTTGTACTAAAACATCGATTGCATGGAGGAAAGTCATACAAGATGAGAATGGAAAGATTTTAAATCCTGCTAGTATTTATGAAAATCAGCTAGAATATTCTAAACTCTGTGCATTTAAAGGTACATGCAACATCTGAGTTCATGAGCATGAATGACTGCTCTTGATAAGGCAGTATGGTGCATTGGAAAGAGTTCTGGATTTGGAGACAGAGGACTTGGAGTCACCTAACCTCTGTGGCTTCAGTTTCCTAATCTGTACATTGAGGAGGTTGAATTAGGTGACCCCCATGGTCCCTTCTAATTCTAAAACTATGATACCCATGATTCATGACCTGGGTTCAAATTCCAACCTTGGACAAGTCATTTCACTCTGTAGACACCACTTTATTTATAACAAAATGGAATTGGACAAGATGCAATGAAAATAGCACTGGCTCTGGAGTCAAAGAACCTGATACACATAGATGACTTTGTGACCTTGAGCAAGTCACATCTTCGGTGGGCCTAAGTTTCCTCATTTGTAAAATGAGATTAAAGTCAATGGTCTTTCCTTCCAGCTCTAGGTCTATAAGGGGGAAGGGATTAAGATTTAAACAGCACCTCTTATGTGGTTCCAGGTATTGTGCTAAGTACTTTATAAACATTATCTCATTTGACCCTCACAACAACACTGGGAGGTAGGTACTGTTATCTTCTTTTTACAGCTGAGGTAACTAATGTTAACTGACTTAAACAGGTTCACACAGACTTAGTAAGTATCTGAGGCCAGATCTGAACTCAGTTCTTCCCAACTCCAGAACCAGCGCTCTAATGCCACCTAGTTGCCTTCTAGGATTCCTCTAAAGTCCTTTCAAGTTCTAAATTCCATGACCCTCTGAATGGACTGAACATTCCAGGCAAAACATCCCACGGATTCATTCATTCATTCAACAAATATTTATTGAGAACCTGTGATGTGCAGCTGTTGATACGCAGTCATTTTTCAGTCCTGTCCAACTCTTCGTGACCTCATTTGGGGTTTTCTTGGCAAAGACACTGGAGTGGTTTGCCATTTCCTTCTCCAGCTCATTTTAGAGATGAGGAAACTCAGGCAAATAGGGTTAAGTGACTTGTCCAGGTTCACACAGCTAGTGTCTGAGACTAGATTTGAAATCCCAAACATGAGTCTTCCTGATTCCAAGCCCAGTGCTCTATCCACTGTGCCACTACCTGTCCCTACAGCTCAATAGGAGACCTGTATGCTCTCTTGTCTTCCCTTACAGAGTTAAGGTAGCTTTTTTTTTTCAGTGAGGATAGCTGGGATATTTGAGGTGGGTAGGGTGACTCTCTGATATTTTCAAAGAACTATGCCTTCAACAATGTAAATATTTCTCCCACAATAGCAGACTGAAACATGTCCACATTCCATGAGTTACTGTGGCTAAAAAATTCATTACCTGGTGGCCAGCCTTCTGGAACAGAACCCTCCACTCTTGGCTAGGATGGTCCACAGATGATAGCAGCTTAATCTATTGCTGTACTTGACACTTTTACAGAGAAAAGGATCTGCCATGCCACAGTGAGCCTCAGGCAAAGGAACAACAACAACAACAAACTGTGAAGAATTCAGATTCATCTGGGTTATCCTCCACTATAATGCACACAGGATAAATGAAATTACATAATAAAAATAGCACATTTCTATAGCACCTTTAGTTTTACTCAGTGTGGTCTCATAGTCTCCCTGTATGATTGGTAGTAAAAACAGTTATATTCACATTTTATAGATGAGGAAATTGAAACTCAGTGATTGTCCCCAGAGTCACAGAACTAGGAAACATTATAGTTAACACTTGAACCCAAATCTCATCTCCAGCACTTAGCACGATGTCTTAATTAATATTCATTAACTTAACTTGATTCAATTGAGGTCCAGTATTTACTTTCCTCTGGACCACAGCTATAGTGGAAATTATTGTACTAAGACCAGAGAGCACATTTGTTATAAAAAATTATTTGTTGTAAAGAATTTCTTGTGAACAAATCAACCCAAGGTGTATTTGCCAGAGTAGAGAAGAAGCTTTGTCACATAGAGCCCTTCTTTGAAATGGTTTTCACTCTAAGTCCAGGTTCTTAACCTGGGGCCATGGGGGAGGGGGGAAGGGGAGAGAGAGAGAGAGAGAGAGAGAGAGAGAGAGAGAGAGAGAGAGAGAGAGAGAGAGAGAGAGAGAGAGAGATGATGAGATGAGATGAGATGAGATGAGATGAGATAGATGAGATGAGATGAGATGAGATGAGATGAGATGAGATGAGATGAGATGAGATACAATGAGACAGAGACAGGCAGAGAGACAGAGACACAGAGGTAGAACTGTATTTCAATATAATTGACTTTCTCTGCCATCTGGTGTATTTTATTTTATGCATTTAAAACCATTATCCTGAGGAGTTCATGGGTCTCATTAGACTGCCAAAGGGGTCTATCCACACCAAAAAGGCCACAAGCTCCTGATCTAAGGAATATGATTTGTAACTCAGAAGATGCTTCAGAAACTGAGAGCTGTTTTTACATTGTCTCTAAGGCTTTCAGAAGAATTGAATTCAAGTCCCAGCTCTGACACTTAACCTGAATGATATTGAGAACAAATCACTTAATTAAGTGACCTCTAAGGGTCCTTCTAGTTCTAGATCTGTGATCCCTTCACCCCCTTCTCATCCTGTGTGAGTCTTATCCCCTCCCTCCCATGAGCCCTCTATGGAGGGTCCAACCCACAAGCTGGTCTGGGTCCTCATTCCATAGGCGCCAGCTTAGTACTCAGGCTGTCCATCAGTTATCACTCATTTCTACTGCATGTTTGGCTGTGCTTCATTTTCTAATCATACCCTTCTTGATTGGTATCTTTAATACCAC